CCTTTCAGGCAGCGAGTTCAACAAAAGCGACCCTCGGACACCTCAACGATTGGGTTGTGCTCCGAAGGCTTGGATTGCGTTTAATACTGGGGGCAAGGGATGATAAGGGTACGGACGTGATCATGCCAACAGCAGGAGCAGCAGAGTCGAAGCAGAAGACAACATATAATGCCGACGACAACAGCCACACCAGAAGCATTCGTCATGGCTGCAGGGCGATAGGGAAGTTGTATCAGAGATATACTGAGTGAGTAGCAAGCTCTTCATGCAATCGGGCAAGCTTCGCATTGGGTTCCGGTTCTCGACTTTTTTGTGGGAAGTGGAAAGGCACATGCAACACATGCCGACGGAGACTTGCAGCCGAACTAGTCCATGTAAGGGACTTCTCTGGAGCACCCTGTTTGCGACTTTCCTCGAAGCAGAAAGTCAATGTCAGTGGGATGGCATGGAGCTACGCAGGCAGCTCAGGATAGGCTCCTCTGAACTGGGCTGCGCGCTGATCTGCGTACTGTTTTCGGATTGCAGGCACAAAGATCTCGAGGCCGTGTCGTGCCTCATCGATGTTGTCAAGGACAGCGAGCAAGCGCCCAACTGTGGTGAAAGATTAAGGTGAAAGCGCGCAGCCGCCGTTCGTCTGAGCATCGAACGACTGAGACGGCACGAAATGCGTTCCAACAGAGAAGATGAGCTTGGCAACATCAGTTCATCGAGAAGACACTTAGCTTGCAAGAAACAGCAAGGTTTGTTGTCGGCTTGTTTGCTGCATGCCGTACAGTCTCCTCTTTACTTGCCCTGACAGCCAGTATCGGTATCCTTCTCCGCAGTAGCGGACGGGCTCTCAAGGTTGCAAGCGCAGCTGCGGGCTCGCAAACGACCCGTCAATATGCATACCTTTTCTCTTTCGGCCGTGCCGGCCGGCAGCAAAACGGGTCGTCGAAGTGGCGACAGCAACATCTGCAGCAGTAGATGCAGTAGAAGTGGGGAAGAGTAGAAGAAGAAGAACTTGCTCGACAGGAGCACGTCGAAAGCGAGGATTTCATCAAGGCAAGCGTGAAGCCTTCCGGACGGAGGAGTTGGCAGTCAGCAAGTCAGCAGAGCGACATGGTTTGCCCTTCATCAGAGACTTTCAGCAAACTCAGTATATTTTTGCCGCAATGGCCCATGTGTCCATGGCTGATCGAAACCAAACATTTCGTTGCAGACGAAGCTGAGCCTGGAGAACGCCCATCTTCATCGGAGGCTAGGGCGCGTTTGGTTTGAGAGAGTTTGTCGAAAAGCGTGAGAAGCCAGACATCCCGCATCGCAGAAGCGGAAAAGCCTTCTCAATCCGTCGATGCACTGTAGCAAGACCCCCCCCCCCCCCAACAAAATGGTGCGAGGCAGCAGGTGTGGTTGCTTCTTTTGGCCTTAGTTCCATGTTTGCACGAGCCCTCAAACGACAACTCATCTGCTCCGTGTGGAGAAGTCAATGGGTCAAGGAAGGTGGGTGGCCCGTACAGCAGTGACGTTAGCTTGCATTATCCTGGCCATGGCCAGCATGACATGCGCACGAGAGGCCCAACTCGCTCCTTCGAGCGCCAAAGCCGCCTGTGGTGCCGCCCCCCGTCGAGGCGAATTGTTTTTTCTCTACAGCTTGTGGTACTTGTTCAGGTGATGTCGTTGATTTTTGTTGGTGCATTGCTGCCGCTCCAAGCCCTGGATGCTTCCGACCGCGCTGGAATGCCTGAGCCTTGAGCAGTCGGGCGGTTCGAGCAGCACGGTCCTGAGCTCCGGAACGCCGCCCCTGTTTCGAGTGCGTGGCCGTGGCCCCATTCTTGTTTGCCCTTCTGACCTTTGGCAGGGCCTGTCTCCTTTCCGCTGGACCATTGAGCAGTTGCTTGGACTGATGGAGGCACGAGGGGAATTCTGTCGGGTTGTGCATCTCTGCGCTTCAAGGCTTCGCTCAAGGCTTCGGTCGCACGAGTAGTGCTGCAGCTGGCCGGAGGAGTATGGTGCTGATGAGCAGCACGACGCAAATCTCGTGTCCAGCAACATCTAACTCCTTCCGTCCGTCCATCCATCCATCATCCCTGTCTGCCTATCTATCTAGCTGTCTATCCACCTATCCCAATCTATCCGTCTATCCATCTATCTGCGTGTGTTGTTTCGAGAGCATGTGCCAGGCTACCAGCTGTGCTCAGCTGGGTGTGAAGCAAGGATGAGCAGCAGCAACAAACACACCTGCCAAGACAACGGTGCGATTGATTAGTGGCAGTTACGAAGCCATAGGCCACCAGGCACTCATCCCCAACATCATCACCACATCCATCAGTCATGTAATCCCCAGCAGCATCATCCTCTTCTTCAATCAGGCTGGCTTAAAATTTGTCAGCACAATCGTGATCGTCCATAGCAGTATGCCGTATGCACATTCCTTCAGCAGCCGCCGAATGCAAGGCGGTCAGCCATGCCTGCAGTGGCATCTCTTCAACTTGCAGGCGCGGAAGACTGCTGGACGAGACGCAGGGCAAGCAGAGCAGACCAGGGCAGAGCATAGAGACGGAGGATCTATCCTCTACAGATGTGTATGTGTATATATGCATATAACTATATAATTGGGCGGCCAGTTGCTCTTCCCCTCAGGATGTTGCCAAATTACAACCTGCTGGGCATCCTCCTGCAGCTCACTTCGGCAGCTTGGGTGCAGCGGATCCGGACGCACAGACTTAATTTTTCATTGTTCATGCAGCATAGTTGCATTTTTGCAGAACGAGAAGTCCCCACGGAGAAGCAGAGGGATGCTGCCGGCTGAATTTTGCACGTGGGAGTCTGTAGCATCTTTTCAGGAGCATGATAGGCAACGTTGTTGGCACTTACTTCAAAGAGAACAAAGGGTTTATCTCTGACAGATCGCGCCCGGCACAAGTATCGGCTGCCTGACACCACGAAGCACATTGAGAAGACAACAGCTTGATTGCACGCCTTGTGTGGCCTGTGTGTCTTAAGTGTCGCTCGCTCGATGAGGCTGATGGAAGCGACAAGCGCACGGTGAAAGTCCCAAGCAACTGGCAGATGTCTCGGCATCCACGTCATAGCTCATGGGTTTGAATGTTCGGTGTATCGGTTTACGAACTGCACTTGTGTTGTGCGCAGCCCGACCCCTTCCCTTGCAAGCTGCTTGCTTCCCCCCTTGGGAATAAATACTGCCACATCGAGCCATCGGGAGACTTCAGGAGGGTGGCGGGCGTTAACGGGAGTGCGAGTCTTCAGGGCTTAGGATGTCGCTCGTCTCGGCTATCAGAAGCCCCCTTGGTTACGAGTGCAAGCACCTGAGTTTCTGAATACGTGCCACTGAAGGAGAAGCTGCGGAGCCGCAAAGCTGAAAGCGTTGTGCCCTGGCTGAGGGAGTCAAGGATGTTAGAATCTTCTTGTGTGTGGCAGTCTCTCAGGCACTTATGATAGAGCAGGCTCGCATGCTTGCAAGTAGTATTCCCGAGAGTTGGTTTTGACGCTGCGCAAACAGCCGATTGGCCATGGGCAATAGGGCTGGGAGAGCCGCCCCAGCGTAAAGAAATAATATGCACCACCACAGTCGCCAAACGCGAAGAGACGGGGTGAGCAAGGCAGCAGTGTGTCTTTCACGGCAGGGGCTTCGCATACACGAGCTCGAACAGAAACAGAAGTACCGTTTCCAGATGTTTCCAGAATTTGCAAGTACCACGACATCCCGTCGTAGTTTGTTGCGACTGCGGTGGCAAGCGTTCCTGCGGCACGTTAATCTTACGAAGTTTCACTAGCAGTCTTGTCTCACGCTATGTTCGGTTAGAATCTTATGCGTAAGCATAATGTCAGAAGCAACTGCAACGGCTGCAAAAGTCTTGTTACCAAATTTGTGGAAATAAGTTGAAAGCGGTGCGCTGGAAGCTTTTCGGGAGATCTGTTCCACTCCTGGGGCTTCTGTTCATGATAGAGGCATGCCAAGCGGGACGTGACCCGATTTGGGCCCGAAACGAGCCTCCAAACCAACGCCCCGAAAGGAAGTCAAGCTGAGGTTAGGAACCTTCGACCATCCATACTCCTCGAACTGCCAATGCCTTAGCAACTTGCAGTTCATGCTTGTGCTTCAGGGTTTGCAGGCCCATAGAGGCTGTATCGTGGGTTTTTGCAGAGCGGGCACAGCATGTGCGAACAGTATAGCCGCCCGAGTTGGGACTTTGGGGTTGCCAGTTCATGTCCATCGCGCACGAGAGCCGTAAGCTCCTCTGCGAGAGAGCATTCTTGTTTCCGACCATGTGGCAGAAGGCTCCTGAGCCCCTCGGATCTCGCTTTACCCAGGTGTCGATGTCGTTGACTTCTTGCTCCACATGTGCTTGCTGCACAGCCCCCTGGGGCCTGAAGCTTAGACTTTTTCGTCGCCCGCTTTTTGGTAGCTGACACAGAGATCTTCTCCATGCGTGCATGCGTGTCATAGACCAGTACACACAGATCTACTTGCACATTTCTGCCTCGTCTCCAGGCTGAGTTATTATTATTATGTTTCAGAGAGCTGGGCTGTTTAGGCGGGAGGCCAACTGCACAGAGGCGGCCTGTAACAGCCTGTAACCATGAGAGGTGGCCCTCGCTGAACACTCTCCTGGAGGTCAGGAAGGTGCTGGAAGCACAGGCTCAGAGCAAAGAGGGTTGTGCGCTTTTCTCAGGCCCCGCTTTATACCGGGTCTTCATTTTGGGGGCTCTTGGGTGGGTTTGGAGGCTTATTCGGTTTAGGGTTCAAGGTTTAGGGTTTCCTTTGTTGCGGAAGCGTCCGCGAGTCACTTTGATTCCCCAACGCCCCAAGCGTCCACAACCGGTGCCCTCAGTTCAGGGACCCCGACGCAGAGCAGCAAGAGTGTTGAGCATCGCATTTTGCTCAACGAAAAGAGACTACCCAGGAGGCCTTGGGAATACCTTCGCAACAACCGCAGCTGCATCTGACGCGCAAGTCATGAAACCATGTGGCATACCGCCAATAACATCGCTGGACCAAATCGAGGTCGAGAGGGTTTTGAGTTGTGGCGCTTTCTTGGAGCTTGGGCTTTGGGTCTGCCGCTCTGATGCCCGCCCCTGCGTCGCAGAAGCCGCAGAATGCGTCCTGGCCGGACTTCTACGCGAGCACCCCAGGTCCACCTCAGGAAGGGTCGCAGAGTCGATGGAGTTCACAGTTTAGGGCTGACATCAGGGTCCACGAGCATGATAAGTATCGCTTTGAAGACGTGGGAGCTGGAAGTAGTAGCTGGAGCCGGAACTTATCGACTTATCACTCTCAGCTACATTTCTTCCCATCAGCTGCGATGCGCGGAATGGCTTTCCTGTCGCTATAGACGGTCTGTCTATGTCCGACAAAACTTCTATTGATTGACAGATCGAACGTCCGATAGTTCGAATCAAAACAGCACACACCCACCTACAGTAGTGCGCTGAGACATTTCTCTGTGCTCAACCCGGAAGCTTCACACATCAATCTATCCACCTGATGCTGGGGATAAGCAGGCTCTGTTTCGGCCGCCTGGCCTAGGTGCCTACCTCCGCCATTGAGACGCTGCCGCTTTTCGAAGATCCTACCGGTGCCGAGGTGAACATGCATTCAGCTTTCAGGGCAATATACCCCGAACCTTCATCAAATTGTATCGCTGCGTCAGCACAGGAGTTGGGCAAGATACTTCAAGCAGTTTCCCAGTTCCTCCTATGTTCGGTTACCCACGTTGGAACTCCCCTTCCCTCGTGCAGGATTCCTTTGCCCGCAAGTTCAAGCCGATCACTTCCGAAGCTCCTGGAAGGCCCCAAACCCAAACTGTTCGGAAGGCTACGCGTAGCACTGGCTACTGCTCGTTGCAATCATGCGGTGCTCTGAAAACAATCTGTGACGACCACAGGTGACTTCTTCCGGGTCTGGGTTTTACAACTGTGCAATCATCATCGTCACCACCACCATCATCATCGTCGTCATCATCATCTTCATCTTCATCTTTATTTTTATCTTCATCATCGCGGTCGTGGTCACGAGTTTCGCCGTGGTGACTGCTACTTGTGTTCTGGCGAGTATCATTGTGTGGATGTTAGGGTCCAGGCATCTGGCTTCTGAAGCCTGGCTTGCAACACTTGGCGCATGCTATGCTGAGGCGGCGTGTTTAGGAAGAAGGGTTTCTGCAAACTGTGGGATGTTTTCGTGAGATCTTACCAGGGAGATCCTGACTAACCACATCAAAGTTGAAGAGCTTGTAGACATGATGGTGAAGCCTGACCCAGTTCCTGAGAAGTTCCGAAGAGTGCAGCCATTCTCAGCTTCTTGCCACAAGCTGATGCTCATCCGAAGCTTGGCGTGCGTGCCCTCAGGTTCGATCGGTCCAAGGCGCAGCTGAGATTCGTTTGAAGCTCAGTATAAGTGCACACTCGGCAGACGACAAGGGTACTGTAGCAGCCTTCCCCGTCTTTTAGTTCAATATCCTGCGGTCACCTGCTGTCCAAGTCTCAGGAGTCCCATGTTTCCGATACATAAATAAACAAGTGGTCTTCTTGACTTTCACAAAGACGCTGCAGTCGGTGCTTTCGTTATTTTTCCTGCTGTCCATCGCACCATCGAACAGCACTGCACTCTTTTTGGCTATCCAGAACTCCTTGCTGCTAGTCGGCATGCCGGCCTGCATATTCACTCGGCAGGCGCATGCCTGCGAAGCACACTGGTGTTTTTTCATAGGTGTGTGCAGCTGCCGGTCATGTTCCGCCCCTCGCAACCCCCTTTCAATCCGGCACTGTTGAGCCCACAGGTGGTCCTGTGTTCTGTGTTCTGCCCATATTTTCAATGCACATACTGTTTCCCAAGTTGCTCTCAGGTGGGGCAGGTTCTCCAGCGTTTCCGTGCCCCATCGTGGGAGCGGGAGGTGCATAGTGAGCTTCTGCCAGTCGATGCCATATGCGCTTGCTTTGATCGCTGCTCGGGTGGGAACTTCACGCAGCAGTGTTGAAGGTTTCTCCTGCGTCCTTTTGCGCTTGCACCTGGACGTTTGTGATGTTTGCGGTTGCGAACTTTGGTGGCGCTACATGGCGCTACTGTTGTGATGCAAGGATGAAGCTTTTGACTGTTTTGGTGAATCGGGTAAAACGTTGTCACAAGACATGATCAAATTCTCAACAGCGTAGGACCATTGGCATTGGCACTAATGCAACTGCCAACTCCTGCTGCTGATGATGTTTGATGGTAGTCAGGGGTTTTGCTGTAGCGCATATGCCTGAAGGGGTCGTAATCTTGGCGTCGTGCCAGTGTTTTAGTTGTCGTGGTTGTCGTCTTAAGGGTCTTGGTTCAACATCAGTCGGGGGTCCTTATCAACCTTTCTGATCTACCTGCCCGAGCACTTACTTGAAGATTCGCACCTGGGACCACTGCACAGGAAGTTCCACCTTCAAAGTGGCTTGACGAACATGTCTTCTTCGTATCTTGTAGGAAGCATCCACATGAAGAGCACTTACCTATAATACTCGTTTGACACAGGCCCAGGGCAAAGGAACAACTGAATTGAGAGAACGTGTTTTTGTTTTAGCCCCCGAGCTGTTGAATATTCGGCAGCCGTCCGGAATGGCTCAACGATTTGAGCATTAGAACTTCAGCGCTGGGGCATGTAATCCAAAGTGCTCCGCGGCCTGAAACACCCTGAAGCCTCATGCCACAAAAACCCTAAAGCCCTCAACCCCGAAGAAAAGAACCGACATGTGAAACTCCAAGCCCATACAGGCCTGGGCGCTGGAAGCGTCCTGGTACGATTACAGGGCCACTCTGCTGAAGAGAAGGAATGCCTTCGGCACAAGGGGGTCTGTCCAGGTTTATGCTTTTTAATGCGATTGAAGATGTCGTTCTGTCTGTTGAGGATTTGCGATACGTCTACTTAATCTACTTCTGTTGAAGGGCATCTGGGAAGCTGTAGCCGAGGTTGTTTTTTTCGGGTGTTTGCGGTGTTCTTCGGCACTCTTCCGAGCCCGAGCGCAATGGTAGCTTAGAGCAAGAGACTTGCTGCTTTTCGATCGCTACTTCTGAAGTTGTCCGGATGCTTTGCAGCTTGATAGGTGGCCAAGGTCGGGGTTGCTTCAGCTGCACCTGCTTGAACGGTGCTTACTGTTACGGGTGGAATGAGGGCGTGCCAGGTTTCTGGTTTCGGGCAATGGCTTTGGATTATCTTCAGGGTCTTAGAATTATTCTAGCTAAACTCGTGCAGACTTGTTTCTCAAGGTTGAGGACTCGCTTGTAGTTTCGATTTCGCTTCGTGTGCGGAGGGCTTTAGGCTCGTCAGCGAATAATTAGAGTCAAAGCGAAAGTATTGATGCATGCTTGCTAGCAAGTGCATCCATGAAACAACTACGAATTTTCGAATGCGACTGGTGTTCCGAAAGAAGCCCTTGACCAGCTAAGGTGCGCAAAGTTGAGGAAACGGAAAGGCTAGTTGAGATGCCCTGAGCCCAGAAGATTTGGGTGAGAGAGCACGAGACAAGCAGGATCTTTGTAACGGCTTGAGGGTGAACGACCATGGGCTGAAACGATTGTGTTTTGGTTTTACAAATCTGCACCTGACTCCGGAAAAAGGATGGGATGAAGAGTTGGGAAGCGTGCGCACACGCAGACGTAGCTTGCTTGCAGTGACAGCCCAGCTCATTGTTTTACCATAAGCATGAGCATGGCACTGCACCGTCCCGAGATGGGCTAGCATTGCCTCCTTGCAGGCACTTTCGAATGAAAAGCGATGCAGATGCACAGCTTCCGGCTAACGGCGGCTCCAATTAGTTTTCCCGACTTATTGAAGACTGGCACGCAGGATCCATGGCGCTTGCCTACACAATAGACTCTCATGCCCGTTAACCCTACGAAGCCTGAACCGCAAGTCTTATAAGCCTATGAACCCCAGCCGCCAGCCCTAGTAAGCCGTTGTATAGGCCCTCAACTTACCGCCGGCTGTCCCAGGCTGGATGACGTGCGAACGACGCCATCGGACACACCGCGGCAGCAAGGTGCAACCGAGAAGTGGAGCTGACTGGAACCCAAACGCAAGCCTGTTCGCCTTTAGGGATTTGGGAAATTTAGGATTTTAGGGTTTCGCATTCTGGGTGCTAAGAATATGCTTAGGATTGTAGGGTGTTTCAGGTTTCGCTGTTGCCTTCTTTTGTGCGGGGCACCGGAAACTGATTTCAGAGAGCCTTCAGTAGAGAAATCTGCATTCCGACAACCGCCTGTGCTGGCAGTTGACGCGATGCCTGCACTGCTTGGGCACGAGGACGCCGCTTGATGGCAAGTTGAGAAGTATTCCCAGCAGCTCAGGTAGGTGTGCAACCGCGCACGCGCGCGCGCGCGCGCGTGTGTGTGTGTGTGTGTGAGTGCGTGTGCGTGCTGTGTGTTTTGCGAGAGAGAGAGAGAGAGAGAGAGCGAGAGCAAGTGTGAGAGAGAGAGGAGGAGAGCGAGAGTTGCCGAGTCCTCAAGTTTGATTGCTATATATGAAAACGTAGTGGGCATCCCACATTGAGGAGATTCCATAAAACTCTCAGGTCGTCCCAATGCCCAAGAACTTCAGGGGGTTTGGGGGGTGGCCGGGGGTCCTTACCAGTTTTTCAAGCCCGGCGGAAGGAGAAAAAGAGCGAGAGAGAGGTCTTTTTCCGAGCCCCCACACGGCCCTAAAACAGGGGCGCGCCAATCGGCGCGGGGAGCCTGACCAGCTCCTCGTACCCGGAGAACAGAACAGAACAGAGAGAGAGAGAGAGAGAGCATGTGTGCAGGTATGTATGTGTGCATGTACTTATTATGTATGTATGTATGTATGTATGCACCAATCCCATCAAGCGTTACCAGGCCTTAGAGCCGCATCTTGCCAGGTTGCGACTCTTTGCTGACCTTGTCCGTGGGACCTTTCTTCTTTGGTCCAAGGTGATACGTACATTTGTTGTGACTGCAGCGACTGACCGCCCTGGTCTCGCCACCATCCGAATCATCTCCCCCTTCAAGGAAGACCTAGCCGGGCACGACATCCTGTCCAACTGTGCGGGGATTTCTGCTCTTCTTGCTTGTTTCACTTTTAATTAATGCATGTCATATAGGCTGCGCCCGAATCGGATACTTTGCCTACGAAAGCGAAAGCGAATGTATGTATGCGGTTGCATATGAAGTATTCTACAACGTATTCGCAGTGTATACAGAAAAACAAAGTTTTTTGATTGGCATTGGTTGGTTTATGTCCTTGTTTTGTCGTTCCTGTAGATGTACTCAGGGATGCATGGGCGAGAGATAGAGAGAGGAGAGAGGGAGAGAGAGAGAGTTGTTGCAAGAAGGTTTGTTGGTGTGGCCTCCAAGCATGAGTCTTGAGTAGATACCAGCGAGAAACTTGACCGCTTAAATCCATCAAGCAGTGTTCCATGTTTGCAGAACTCGAACTGCCGTTGGCGACAGCTTCAGCGACGTGTTCACTTGACGCTGTACTAACAGGGTGAGCCCGCTCAATTCCGGCGGCTTACGTGTCGAGTTCGAAACCACTCCTCCTTCTCACTGAAAGCCTGCCTCCGAGACGTCCGCGGCAGATCCGGACGATGCGGTTTCCACAGGTGCAGGGACATCGGGGACTGACTTTTGTTGCTGTTGTTGTTGCTGCTGCTGCTGCTGCTGCTGCTGCTACTACTACTACTACTACTACTACTACTGTTGCTATTGCTGGTGCTGTTGCTGTTGCTGCTGTTGTTCTTGTTGTTTGTTGTTGATATTGTTGTTGAAGACTGCCGTCAATTTTTCAAGGTGCGGATGGGCCGGAAGACAAACCGAGTACTTGAGACTGATGAGTTTTTCATCCTGCGACAGTCCGAATCTAGAGATGGTATAGGAGTTGTGAGCATGCTGTGTGACTCCACATGACGTCGTGCAGCTGAAAACCACTGCTTCCAAGACGACGCGATGAGGACATGTCGTCCTCAAGCTTGATACTTCCTAGCAGGGCTCTTTCCAGCTAGCTTGAGGGACGGGCGCTCTATGCCAGCAGGATAGCTCAAACCATTTGGTTATATACGAGACTCCCCCGGCAGTTGACATAATCCGGTTTGTCTGAAGCAAGGCGTATATTCGGGATTTCATGAGAGTATGGAGGAGTGTACCGTTGGGCTTCAACTTTGCGGACGCTAGTGCTTTGCAATGATCCCGGTTTAATCTCAATAGTTGTACTAGAGTATACTGCAAATCTCCGTTTTGCAGGGCCCCTGTATTACTTCTGTAGTCTTGTGTTTCAAACTCTTTCTTGACCCAGGCGGCCAGAGCACCTGGTCCTCCGGAAGACCCGAGAAGCCGCGCCCGGAAGTGCCTCGACTACAAGTTTTTCTCTTGGGACACGGTCGCTCCTTTCTTAGCCCTTTGCAAACACGTTCGCGATCGTCTCCAGGAGCCTGTGAACGCCCCGGAGCCGCCGAGCGACCACGTCTCGGTCAGGCCTGGCTCGCCGCTTGAGGACCACCGATTGTGAGTCATGCAGTTGCGCGTTTCTCTACGGCCAGGCAGCTCATGGCTTACTTCTGCCAGGGCCCGACCACCGAAGAGGGAATCGCCCGAGACCTGGCAGTGCGAGGGAAGTTGATAGCCCTAGGACCTATGGGTCCCAGTGGAGGTCATGACACTCGAAGGCTTTGTCATCTTAATTGCTAATTGCTGCATGTATCATTAACCCTCCCTATCTTACTCTGGCATGGGGCCCATCTGGTGGCCTACCTGGTGGGGGACACCGCAAGGGAAATCTGAGTCTTCGGCGGTTGAATTATTGAATCGCTTGCACCCCAACACTTGCAACCACGAAGAGCCAACAGAAGCCACACAAAATGTATGGCGATGCAGCATCCCCAGCAACATGATTTGCCGTCGGAATATCTTGCAGATGGGCCACGTCTCAATGCCTCGCTCTTGCAGGCACGAGCTTTCGCGGTGCTGGCACCAAGCGGTGCAGGCCACGACTTTTCATGTTCATTCCCGTGGAAGCTCTACAACCAAGCCTGAAAGAGTGAGAGTGCTTTGTGCATCTGGGGGCCTCGATCAGAAAACTAGCAGCGAGACTTTCCAACCTGTACTCGTAGCCAATGACAGCATTGCTTGCACAGCTGCGACCGCCATCCCGGTGGAAGCTGCGCACGCGGCGATCCTCTCGCGGAGAGCTCAGTGCAGTGGCTTCCCCGTGCGTGTACGACTTCAGCCGGGCATGGATTGTATCACAGGTGTCAGGCTTGCCGGGAGGTCCGAAATTTCACAAGACTTGCGACTGCATGCTCCTGCTCCAGTTTGCAGCACTTCCTTCATGTTCAGGCCCCACCCAATCCCTTCTCCCACGGTCCCACACCCCAAACCCTACACATAGATGGTCTCGAGCCTAGAGCGTCAACGTCACGAGGATTGTTTCTCTTGCTCGATCGCTTGTGCCGTAGGATTGGAGCGCGGCAGCTGCCAACGGTGTGCCAGGGCGACTCACGCCGCTCGGACTTGGCTCGGCCTCTTTCGATATCTGCGGGGCGATTGCTCTGCCAGATTCATTGTGAGAGCCACACTTGGTCTAGTCCTTGAGGCAGTGCTGAACCAAGTTGTCAGCGTAGGGTTTCGAGGCATGGCGGGAGATTCGGACTTGAGGTGAACAGGCTCGAATGGCAGGGAGAACAGATCTTTCGCTACAGAACTTGGGGCAGCATTGTAATATGAAACTTCGGATTCGGTTTTGGCTAGCAGGAGCACACATCCTGCAACCAAGACACCCTCTACGTCGGCATCATTAGGCTGAACAGCAGACTGGACATACTGCTTGGACAGAATATGTTGTCTTTGACATCGCAAGCAGTTGGTGGCATCCAAGGACCTGCCTTCCCAGCGCTGCAGAAGATGTGTGAGGAAGCTATCGGGGGAAAGAGCAGGGATGGGAGGCCTCAAGAGACTGCTGCGCGCCGGGACTTCCGTTTCCTTCTTGAAGGCCAGGGGCCCGTGCAGGCAGAGCAGCCACACACAGTTAAGACGAAGAGAAAGCTTGCCCTCGACAGCACGAGGCAAACACCGGCGGCACGCTTGGGAACAATTTTCCGAGCCAATGGCATGAAAATGGCCCAATCCAAATTTGAACCTGGGCAATGGGTCAATTTTACGACCCGTGATGCTACGAGGCACTTGGCGTTTGCTCCTGCACTCTGCCCCGGGCTCCTGCACTCTGTCGGGCGGAGTCTCATCCGAAACCCAATGCGAGCCTTTCAAGATGCTGATTCCGACGCCCAAATTTCAACTGCCACACCTGCGCTGTCAACCCAAACCTGCTGCGCGGCTCGCTACTGCAAAATGCAATCTTTCGAAATTCTAAGTTGTAATCATTGTACTGGTAGTTGTTGCCTGTCCAAGGCACCCCCTGAACCTCAACATCCGCAGACACATGCGGTCATCAGGAGCTGGACAACAAGTGTGGAGGCTCAGCCCGGGCGACGGGCTTGGCTAGGACCTCAGCACCAACCATGACTACGGCAGCGAAGGTGATGACGACGATGATGATGATGATGATGATCGGCATATGCCTGGAAGAAACTGACTTTTGACTGCCCAAGGCGTGCTTCTTTCAAAAAGTATGCGGGCATGCCGCGCGCTGTGGCAACTGTGAATCCAAAAGACATCTTTTGGAAGGCGCATGCCGGACATGCCGGGTATGCCTGGCTGCCTGGCAGGTCCCGCGCTGTCCCGCCGCTCCAATTTGGCTAGGAAGGGCAGCCTGGGCGAAAATCACACTTTCGGAGAGCATATGTCCGACGTGTCGGACCGGGACTGCTTGGCAGAGGGGCCTGGTCTCAACACAGGGCCGACCTGTGTTCAGACAAGGTTCACCTTTGAATCAGTTTGGAGCCAATTTTGGGAGCACGTCCGGAGTCCCTCACGCGCTCTCTCTGCGTGGTGTCCGTACCTGCCCAGAGCTGGCTACTGTTCGGACACACCAGGGTCTGTTCCGCTCCAAAACTGCATTAGCTTGCAACTAGAAAGCCGAGAAGAGGTCGAGAAGCGGATTGCAGGACAATGAAGTCCAACATACTGTTAACATAAAGGTCACGTGACGATGGTGATGCCCCGTAAAGTAGTACTGGCGATGATGGCTGAAGATGGGCATCAGCACTGCGACAGGATGACAGAACGAGACGGTTGAGGAAGCTGATGCTAATGGTTTAATGATGATGGTTGAGGGCAGGTTGTTGATGCTGCTGTGGACAATGCTGATCAGCAGAAAGGACAACAACATTGCCAATATCAACACTGCTCTGCGATTTCCATTGTCGTTTTTACACTGACAAGAGATGTCATAGTGTCAGTGTACGCCATAGTTTTTGTTTAGCGCTCGACAACGATGTCGACAGTGATTAGGGACCTTGCGTTTGCACCGCGACGAATGATATGCCCGTTCAGGCCCAGCATTGTTGAAACTGGTGGAAGATCTCAACTTTGATCGAGTCTCGAGTCTTGAGTCTTGAGTGTATCTAGCTTGCGGATCAAAGAAAGGTTAATTGAGAACAGTTACGTTTTGGACCTTGCTGGATGCTATAAGGCTTTCGCGCCTTCGAGGCTGTATCGGATGTTGGGTCCGTGTACTGAGCCATAGATGCAGCTTAGCGAAGCCAAAACCTGCAGTTCAGGTGGGGAAAGCTGAAGCGCTGGAGCTGGTGCTGCCTGGCCGAGTTAGATCGGCGCAAGGCATGTGAGCATTGCTTCACCGGCCGCCACGAACGGAGTACTTCGCCTTGTCGTCTGACGGCTGAGGAAGATCCTCAGCCTTGGCCGGAGGCATCGGCGCGCGGAGGCGGAGATCCGGTAGATCCGAAGGCATCAGAGGATGCCACGGCCTGCAGTGTGTATTTTCCGTAGTTTTGAAATTCAAGTTCGTCAGTCAAGTGTTAACGAACTCTTGAGGTTGGGGTTAGTCTTGGGTGAGGACGGAGCACGAAGAGTACCCTTTGTCTCCCTGCACCGCATGAAGTAGTACCATGCATGCCTACAACACACCCCTCGGACTCGGTCTCGGTTTCAGGTCACCTGTGCGCAGGCTCAACCTGCCAGACCCAGGTACTTGGAATGCTGTTTTGACATCTGTGTATCACAAACACTGTAAGTCTGGCCCAAGCCAAGCGAGCAGGATGTGAGCAAGTTCCGGGCAGAAAGATGGTCTTCAATGCTAGTCGATTTCCCTTTCCAAAACTTCTGTGATCATGTAGAGAGCACGACAGAAATAAAGCTTCGAATGGACCAGGTAGCTTGGCAACAATCCCAGTCCGATCTCCAATTATTGGTCGTGCACAGCAACTATACCTTGCAGTTGCGGACATGCCTGAACTTCAAAGTTGATTGTACGCACGCCTTGCCATTACGCTCTGGGGCTTTGAAGTCCTGGTTTGGCTTCCACAGCCATGTGGACTTCCCGGATGACGTCCGGGGCCAAGAGCAAGTACTTCCGAAAGCATTCACTGGTACTTGGGACGAGAGATTCTCTGGTTAGGACCTCCATGACCTCTATGGCTGTACCAAGTTCAGGGCCACAGGCAGGCCTTAGTATCATGGACAGAACAATCAGGTTCCTAGCGATGTGAATGCCCGGGAGGTGATCAGGCTCGCAAGTTGGATTCCTGCCCTGTATCTAGTCAAGGTCAGACAGCAAACACCCCGGCTTGCATTCCTGGCCCAAAGGCGTGGCCCAAGTCGAGGTGACAGCCCGGGCCTTGACCTTTCACGTCCGCTTGATAGCGTCTTGTGCCGAGCTGTGTGTGTGTGTGTGTGTAGTGGTCCGTATTTCGCATCTCTTTGCCTCTGCAACAAGAAAGCATCACCAGCCCACAGGGACGACGACGATGAGCAGCAGTAGCAAGGACGACGAACATGACGCCGATCACCACGACTGGACCACCACCGTGTCCTACCAGTACCAGCACCAATGCCACCCCGCAGCACCGAAGGCAGCCGCCGGAGCAACGAAAACAACCGCCAACAAAACAAAACCCAGGAGCCATAAGAGCACCAGGAGCACAGGTAATAACAGGGGCAGCAACAGCGAATGAGCAACAGAAACAGCAAATGCGGCAGGCGGCAGTGACAATTGCAACACCAGCCCGACGACGATGAATGCAGAATGCTTCCACATCAACCCCGGCTGGCGCGGTACTGACGATGCTGGTCATGACTTCCATGCACATGATTTTGATCACGGTGGTGTCGGCGAGGTGATGCGAATGATGGCCACGAGGGTGGGATGGTGGTGATGATGTTCATGACATCGGAATCATCATCAGCGCCGTCACTATGGTCATTACGAGCACAAGTCAATGCACACTTCCCCAAAGCCAGCCAGATGCAAGCTTGGGCCTTGTTCTGTTCATGTGCATATTGCTTGCTCGAAGGCACATCGGTGCCACCGCCACCCACAGAAACGTCGAAGCGCAAGAAAAAGGCCCGAGAAGCTGGAGCTGTGTTCCAGCCTCTTCTCACCCTGCAGCAGTGGAGGCGATGAAAGTTGTGTGTAGAGCCCGTGCGTACGCTTGTCCTGGCGTTTCCTTCACATGCTTCGAACCCCACACAGGGCCATCAAAAAGAAAGCGCAGACCGAATAAGCCGGAACCCGGTCTTGAGGCCAACGAAGTAATCCCGTGCCTGAAGCCTGAGAAGCTAGGATCGACATGCGTGTGTGTGTGTGTGTGTTTGTGTCTCTCTCTCTCTCTCGACATACATATCGTATTATATATACATATATATATATATATATTATTATTATTATTATTATGATTATTATTATGATTATTATTATGATTATTATTATGATTATAATTATGATTATTATTATTTATACATATACATACACACATATGCCATATTCATGTATATCTATACTTTTGAACAGTATGTGTGCATATATATATATATATACACATGGATTAGCCTGCGTGGGCTTCATGTTCGATTTGAGGGGCCGCGGCGGGAGACGACACATGGTCAAAGAATCAATTGCCCCTATCTTCGGGATGCTGACACACGAAATGTCTCTTACAGTACCAAGTCTTCGAGGTCGTTGCCGTCACCCTTGTCTGGGGAACATTGCGACTTCAGGTCACTACCAATGCTGGTGCCGAAAAAATTAGATGAGCATTCTTTCCTATCGCAGAATGCCGATATTCTGTGGCAGCGGATTTTCGTGGCCACGAGACCAGCATTCCTGAAGCGCCGAAGTTCAGGTGTGGACTTGCTATACAGACCAGCCGGACGAACTCTTCGCTGCGTCCGGATGATGTACGTAAGTGCGTATATGTGTGTGTGTATGCATGCATGCATGCATGCATGCATGCATGTATGTATGTATGTATGTATGTATGTATGTATATACGGTAGATAGGTCTGCGGTATGCGTACATACGACCTGCACAATCATGCGTACATACATACGTACATACATACTTATACTGTCATAATTTGTCACAAAATATATATATATATATATGGTAC